ATGACTGCAGGTAAAATCATTAGATAAACTGGATCAGCACAACTTACGTGTTAAGTTCAGGGTGGACGAGATAACCTTTGCCCAGCAACAGCTCAGTGGTTTCCAAACCATTATGAATAAATTTATCTGCACTGTACACATCTGATTCTGGACTAATGCAATGCATGTGCCGCCGGAGAGCATCATATACAAACTGGGAAAGCACAAATAGGGCGATGCTCGAAAGGCAATCATCGCGTGGAGTCTGGGGTTTGTTTCCTGCGTAGTCCAGTTGACGAAGCGTCGAATGCCCCGTACAATATTTGGGATACAAGTGCGACGCCTTGACAACTGGCCAAGAGACCGGTGCTAGAACAGGGCCAACTGTTTTGAAGGATTTTGGAAAGCGTTAAGATGCATCGCCAACAATTGGCCGTTTAACGCTCTTCCGGGTGAGCGCCCCGGTAGCCTTGTTCCAGCTGGGTGAGGCAAATCTGCTGGTGTGATATCAGGGACGGACTAGGCAGATTTAAGTGATGTAATGCACTTTGATTTATCTACACTTTACCAAAACGTTTTGGACAAAAAATATCAAAAAATTGTTTCAACAGGCAATAGATGAGAGGACCAAATTTTCAACGCATTTCTTATGAGACCCAGTCACTTTTTGTGTCACTTTTTCAGCCACTTTTGACGCAGTTACAATAGAAATTGCTCCGAAATCCGTCATCATCGAAACTATTCAGCATTGATAATGAACGAGTTTCTCTGAGTGTATGCATAAGAAAGGGAATGGTGCTATGTTTTGGTCTCAGACAAGCACTAAGCGAAGACGTGGAATGAACGAAGCTAGGGTGCATAATGGGTTGATGAGCAATGATGATAAGTAATTAGCAGTTATTATTGCGGCCGCAGCGGTGCTATGCGCTGTAAATGAAATAGGGTTTTTACACAGCACGCTTATACGAGTGTAATAGGCGTAGAACTCGCCTCTGGCATAGCTTAAGATGTCGTTTACTGGACAGAAACCAAAACTTTAATGACAATTGAGGAAAGTGAAGCATCATATACGTTTCGTTCGTCGTCCTGGCAAAAAAAAGATGTTCGCCCTGGCAAACATTTCATGTTATCTGCTTTTTGCCCCCTTGCACAAACCTGAACACTTATTGGTAACCGTAACTGCAACTCACTTCCTTAATCGCTATTGCCTTAAGTACACAGTTTTGCATCCAGTTGCTGAAAAACGGCCTTTACACACCATCATTCGCGACCCGGAATGCATGCCGTGCTACTCGGAAGCTATCGCATTTTAGAGCCCTGATTGCAAATTTCGACCCAGGTCTCTCCCGGTGTCGGGCTCGGAATCAATCTTTGCGCGTGTCGTTTGCCCAAAACGTGGACAAAATGCGTAGAAGTTATATTTAGGAAAGGTTAAATAATGTTAAGAATGCTCTACGCCGTTTCGGAGAAACCGGTGAAAACTGCGAGGGAAGCCAGCAACCCCCAGCCCCTCACTCCCCAGATGGGATGAACTGGTACCGCGCAGCTGGATAGTGTGGCGGGATATTCGCAACAGGCTCAGGATGGCAACAACGGAAGTTGATTTGATTTGACTTAAAAGTTTCAGAGGAAGCTTTCCGTGAAATACATGGAAAGGGCCCGAAAAGAGGCTACAACGACATTTCCACTTTCATGTTCCCTATACGTCCAAATCACCAATTCCAGTTATCTAGTCCAGGGTCACGATGACAGGAAGAAAGAAGTCTGGTGATGAGTGAAACGTTGTCTGCCTAATTTGAACCCGAAAATAGTTATAATGGCACGGTGCTTCTGCGATATAAGGTATGGTAAGTAGTAAAATGGAATTAAGGTGGCTTCCTTAAATAATTATGCACGTGATATGTGTTTAGTCAGTTGTATTTTTAATGAATTTTCGGTCGCAGACCGTGCTCACAGAATCAAAAACTTCATAGTTAAAGCGGACATCATATGCGAGGCCGTCTGGGCAGCGGTTTTGTCCCAGCACACACGGAATCAAATGACGCACATTTTCTGCATTTTGATCGATAATTACAAAAAATCACAGGCCCCAAAATACACTACCTTTGAACAAATGAAGTCTATATCATTCTTCAGGATGCGATATTCTGTTTAGTAGGGTTTAAGTTTGCGGGTGTGGATTAAGTCACACATTTTGCGATGGAGATGGTCTTTGGGTTTGTGGAAAATTTTGACGGCCAAGGGGCTCTCAGTACGCCAAATCTCATAGTTTTGGC